TTCCATTATAGTGCAATTAGCTTTTTGTATGGAGTAAAGTAATTTTGAGCTGATTTTAAATCTAGTTTCCCCTTTCCCCCCACAGTAAATTGACTACAAAAATAAATGTTGTTTTACTGCGAAGAGTTTCCTACAGAACTCTAGTCAATAGAACATTACATGCCATAAGGCTTTACATGCTAACTGCCAGCAGATGTCACTAGAACAGAGTACATGTAAACTTGGAAGGATTAGATTTTTGTAAGTAAAGTTGGTAGACGTCTATTTCACCATCCACACAAGCCAATGAAATACTATTTCCATCAATAAATGAAATTTACAGATAGACAAAGTAAGAAATATTATATGAGAATGAATTAAGAGTTTGATAGGAGGATATTTTCTTTGTATATTTTGATGTGATGTTGACAATTTGTGTTTTAACATTTATAATACACCTCTACCCCGATATAACGCTGTCCTCAGGAGCCAAAAAATCTTACCACGTTATAGGTGAAACCACGTTATATTGAACTTGCTTTGATCCGACAGAGTGCGCAGCCCCGCCCACCCCGGAGCACTGCTTTACCGCATTATAACACGAATTCATGTTATATCGGGTTGCGTTATATCGGGGTAGAGGCGTACTATTTTTTTGAATCTACTAACATTAAATAATTCTGTCTCCCCTCATTGTGTGACCCTCCCATAATTTTACACAACTGAACATTTAAATCAATAATTGAAAAAAATGCTTCAAAGTAAACACTGAAATTATAAAAAATAAAAATCAAATTATGCCAAGCATAACTACATGTTACAAATTTTGCTTCACAAGAACACTGGCTCATTTTAATTGTGCTTTGAATTAGGAATGGTGAGACAGGAATCACTGCAATATAGATACATTTTGCCTATGTGCGGGTATACAGCAGAACATCACTAAGACCAGATCATAAGGGGACATATCTTAAATAATATAAACTTCAAAATCACTATAGTAAACAATTATCTAGATAGGGATACTATTTTCCTTATAAGGAAAGGAAGAGAATTAGTTACAGTCACGGCCCAAGCAGCACAGAAATCTTTACCTGTTTCATTTGACTGTATTGTTAAAATACTGGTAACATCTCCATAGCCTACGTAAAAATACACAATACAGCAGTGTCTCTGTAGCTCTATTTTGTTTATACATTGACCTTGGTCCCTAACATACTCAGTCTACAACAGCTAACAACAGAATGCCTAGATAATATCTTGGATGTCCTCATGTTGCTTGTACCCAGGGTTTTGAGAGAAGTTTCTTTTGGAATGGAGTCTAGCTCCTTGCAAGTAGGGTGTATGTTATAGAAGCTTAGATGAAATGCACAAGTAGTTAGACAAGCTTTATATAAATAGCCTGCAGCTACCCAATTGGACAGAGTTCATTCATTGGCTCAGAATCAGACTTCCAAGGTTCTCAACAGGAAATTGTAAAGAGTTAGTGTAAAACTTACGATTCAAACTAGATAGTTCCATACAAGAAATTCAAGTCTTTGTGGAAGAAATTTTAATAGAAGTCACTTTAGAGCAAGTTTATGCTGAACAAGAGATTTCAATAGGATATAACAACATCCACCATCATTATGACCCTATGCTTTGGACTCCAAACATTTTAACTGCAATATACCTAGTGCAAATGAGTGACAGACTAAATTTAATCCAACTGATACACAGGCTACACTAGCTTGTTAAAATCTGTAGGCACAAGTAACCATTTGAAAAAAATAGTTAAATGCCAAACTGTGGTCATTCATCTAGGACTGCTAGATACGATCTAGTCCTGGAAAATAGGTGGACCACAATTACACCAAGGTTGCATTGTGGAAATTTAAAAAAAATCTTTTTATGCAGATTAATGTAAGTAATTTAAAGATTAGAGCCCAGTTTTGAAGGCTGCATTCTTGTTTTGCTAGTTTAAATTTCTGGGGGGGGGGGAAAAAAAAGTTACAGCTTACCTCGACCAGCTCTGCCTACAGCAACATTGTATGTTGGCTCGCCACCATGACTCTTTGTCCTGATGTCCATTGTGCATTCACTATCAACATACAGGCTATCTCTGATCACAGAGCACTTCTTTGCACCAAGAGTCAGACCGTTGGTGAAGAAACCCTCTCGGTCTTTTCCTACAATCATATCTATTTCTATGGGCTGTTAAAAAAGAAATTCAGTGTTATATAGCAAGCTCTCACAACTACCTTTCACAGAAGACATTGGATTTCATGTACTTTAAATGAAGTAGTTTACAGATTAATTTCCACTCAAAAGAGACTTGTCACCAGCAAAAAGATTTGAAAGGGACACTCAAGCTTCTCCTAAGACAAGACACTTTAGAATCAAGTGTTTTGTTATTCACAGATATATTTTAATTAATTTAGTACCATTTTCAGTGAACACAAGTGCTGTTTTGAGATGTTTCAAATATTAAGTTATAGATTAAGTCTGCAATACTGATAAGGCCTAGAAGTTAGATTCCAGTAAGTTGTCTTTTTGAAGAAGGCAATGTGATGTCATCAGGCATTTTGCTAACCACAGAGCCATTTATTTTAGTAAGTGAATGAATCAGACTTTTGCTACTTGATAATGAGGTACCAAAAAAGCCTTCAGGACCGTGTCTAGATAACAATGATGCAGGTGCGTTCCCAGTCCCATTTGCCTTAACAGCAATTGGTGGGATATCAAACTCCTCCCAGGTCAGCTGCCACAGGTCTCTGAAAGGTCAAACAACAACTATGTTTCTAATGCAAAATGTAGCCAAATTGATGATGCACAACAATGTTCAGCTCTGCCCTTTTCTAGGCAAGGAATGTTACATAATATCATACCTAAGTTTCAATGACTCAGACAGTAAACTCAGATACATAAAGCCATAGCTCCAGCAAACACATAGGTCTCTCAGTACCCTAAAAAGTGGGGGAGGGGATCACAATGCTAAAGTGACCCCTCTGTGCACCGGGAAATCGTGTTGTCTAGTCCCAGCAGGAGCCCAAGACCGATTGCATTTAGAAAGGGATCAGGCTACATTAACCCCCCACGCCTTTCACCCACAAAGTCTGTGCCCCCTTCCATGGGGGAGTCTCCCTGCAGCACTGCTTTCAGGATGGAGGAGGAGGAGAAGGTGGGGGTGGGGTGAAGGCAAGACAGGAGCAATGTGCTTTCTAAGGGTAAGAAAGCAAGTAAGGAGATGGGAGGCGTTGCCCTCCAGAACTGCACAGTCATAGCAGGCCCTGTGATTTCCAATCACACACCGGGACTCTGCCAAGCCACATCTTAGCAAGGCACAAAGACACCTGGGGGAGGGGACCCGGTCAGCAGCTGGAAATCCTCAGGGCACCACTTATTTAACCATATTCAGGAAGGGCCGGGCTGGTGGCAGGGCTGGTTTCCCCAGCAGAGTGGTGGCCTGTATGGCTACTCCCCACTGACATCACATCCCATGAAGGGGTATGATGAGGAGGGGGTGCTGCTGTGGCCATGCAATGAGATCACTTAACTATGGAGGGGGGGGGAGAAAGCTTTTATGCAGGAGAGCTGCTTTTGCATACCAAGGCTACCAGCAAAGCGGGACCTAAGGAGAAAAAGGAGAACTGGCAAGCACAGGAGCCACGGGGGGGGGAATCCAACACGAGCCAAGCCCTCCTCTCCTCAGAGAAAGCAGTAACCCCAAATTCCCGTGCAGAAGGCAGAGACCTACAGGACGGATTTGCAGGGGGAAGGTGCATCAGTCTGCAGCAAACCGTGCATCATGACACAAGGTTATAATCAAAACATGCAATTCACCACCACCCACCAATATAGGTATGGCCTAAAAGGGCTCCCAATTTAAATAAGTCTTCCCCCTGATCCTTAAAGGGTTTCCAAACCCTTCCCCATGGGAGCAGGGCCCTTCCCTTGGAAGATCTGAGCCGTGGGTGGGAAGGGGGCTGTGTTGCAGGAACAGGGATGATTAATACCTCTGAGGAGGACAGACGGGGAGGAAAGGACAGAGAGAAGGAAGGGGGTGGGGGGAAATCAATGGCAGTGCGCCATCTTGGAGATGAAAAACATGTAGCCACCAGCGAGGATTCACGAAAGCCTCCTACGCCGGATACGTAAGTCTGTCCGCAGCAATGAGGCCTGGGCGCAGGGAACCCTACGCCAAGTCTCTCCCGTGCCCGGCCTTTCTCTCCTCCTCCCTCCGCCGCATTGCCGGCTCCGGCTTAGCCCGCGCGGGCAGCTCCCAGCACGGCGCCGCGGCCCGAGCATCCCGGGCGGGGGTGGTGAGCGGGGCCGGTCCCCGCTGACCGCCAGACTCGGCGCTACCGGGAAAGCGCCCTGGGGAGCTGCCGGGCCCCACACGGCCCGGGGGGGGGGCTGCAGGGGGTACAGCTGGCGGGGGCGGGACCCCCACTGGCCGCTGCCCGCGGGCGCTTGGAGCGCACGGCGGCGGCTCTTTGCTGCATCACCCCCCCCAGGCGCGCCGGGTAGGGGCTCGAGCCGGGCCGGGCGGGAGGCTCGCAGCCGGCGCGGGGGCCGCGGCCCTTACCGTGATGCTCTGGAAGATGCCCCCGGCCGTCGCGGCCCAGACGTACTTGGCGTCGCAGTAGCCGACAATGGCGGCCTCCTGGCAGCAGCCATCGCACATCAGGTTGTCCACGTAGCTCTGCCAGCCGGCCATCGTCTTCGCCTGGCGCAGTCGGGCGGAGGAGCGGAGGGCGGCGGCGGCGGCGGTCTCACACGCGCGCGCGAAGCGGCAGCCGAGCCCTGCAGCGAGCAGCGCGCGCCCGGCCACGGGGAGAGGAGAGGGGGCGGGGCCGCCACCGCCGCGCTGTTGCTGCTCCCCCTCCCCTCGGCCGCGTCTCTCCGAGCCGCCGCAGCAAGAACAGCGGACGGGGGAGGGGTGGGGGAAGAACGCGGAGCAGCTGCGCGAATCCTTCCGCCGCGCGACGGCCCCGGCGGAGGGATACGTTGGGGAAGGGGCAGGGGCAGGCAGGGTGCTACTGGAGGGAGCCGGGGAGATTGGCGGTGGTGGCGACTCGTGGCAGCTGCCTGCAAAGCACGGGGGTGGGGGCGCCTGTCCCCTCGTGCGCTCGCCGGTGGGGTCTGCCTGGCACGGCTCGCGACCCCTGAGCAGCCCGGCCAGCCTGCATGGAAGACAGTCAGTGTGGGTGACGGCTCGGATCACCCAGCTCCCCGGGCAGTGGTTTCCACTTTCCCCCTGCACGGGGTGACAGATGGCGAGCCTGGCACCTGTACTGCAAACGGGTGGCAGAGGAGAGAAGAGCCTTGTTGTGGCACCGATTGCGGTACTGGGGAGGTTGCTCTGAGGTCTTTCTCAGTAGGAGAGATGAGCCTTGCCCAGGAGGCAGCAGGCATCGGTGTGTCTAGCGTTATCTTTGTTACCGGTCAGACCTTTCAGACTAGACAACAAACCTGCCTGGAATCCCAAACATGCTTGTTGGGATTACGGACCAGATTCTTGTTTCAGCTGTTAACCTCGTGCGTATGAGTAACTGCGCTGCATCGAGCCAGTGGATTTACAGCAATGTATCAGCGCAGAATTTAACCTCTATATTTAGTCATTGAGGGAAAGTAGATCATTATTCATTAAACCGTCAATGAAGTAATTGCAAGCTCAAGAGAGTTGCAGTGATTTTCTTTGCATATTCCGGAGTAACTGGTTTTAACATAAAATGTGGGGCTTGAAGTTCGCCTATTGAAACTTTTCCTGTTATCACAAAACCAAAGGATGTGAGAGTGGATTGTATGTAAAGATGATGAAAGCTAAATTATTACCTTTTTATTTTGTTATATTTATCTGAGGTTGCTTGTTTCTTATCAGTCTTTTGGAAAACTCAACTCTTTGTCTAGGTGAGATTTCAAAGAGCATATTTCATGCCATAAGAAACATTGAGGAAACATTTTATTTGGAAACAGGCATATTATAGAGTAGTATACCCACTCCAGAGTTAAGGTTTCGACTGAATTTGTATTATTAACTCAATTTTTGCTATCGGCCCCAAAATAAAGGGAAATCCCTAAATAAAGTAGTATTCCCTTTACAATTGATAAGTTAAATCTGCAGTAGAGGTTCAATTTTTCTACCAAATTTGAAGTAAATTAGGCAAGAGATTCCTGAATTATAACTATTTTAACTTCTCTCAACTAAAAAAACCTCCTGTCTGATATTCACCAAAGGTGCATCTGCACTAGTGGTACCAATGGTGCAAACTAGCATACACCACGTCCAGGTGTACCCCCATCTGATGCCCATGCTCTGTCTACCGTAGAGTTTGCAGCATTAGTAGCATTGGTGAAGCTGCATTTTTACTGAAAATTAGGTAAGAGGAAACAGGGCAAAAAAAAAAGCAGCTAAAAATGTACTTTACTAAACTAATCTGTTTGAGATCAAGTCATAGGACAAGAAATCTCTAATACTTTTTTGTGAGATCTTACTTTGATAAAGGAGAGCGGGAGATGTAAAAGTAAGTTTAATGGTTTCATCTGTTCAACTTTTTGGGGAGAAAAGATGCATTCCTGCAGTGCTGCCTTTTACACCCCACCCCCCCTCCTCTGCTAGCCCCCATGCCTCCTGTTGATTTCCTAAGGAACTCACATCTTGTGGAGAAATGGGGAAGAGCATGGAACTGGAGGGAGAGTGGAACACTTGGGAAGGAAGTATGGGGAAGCAAACGGGGAAAAGAAGAAACTACTTATGGATTATAAACAGCAGAGCATATAAGAGGAAGTTTAGAATAGTCAAAAAAACCCATCAAAACTAAGAGATTGGACAGTTTGTTGGAATTTGAAGTGAATTTATTTTGCTGCTGGGTGCTTGTTTTTTTACACTTACTGCTGCATTGTCATCGATTAAAGCACTTT